GGTGAATTTGACTGCGACAATGTTTCAAAATTAGGAAGGGAAGCAATGATTATTTGATTATATAGACGCTTCGCCTCTGATCGACAATGTCTGTCGCAGATCTAGCACTTGATGATGATGACGATTACTGTAACACTGATTTTAATATATTTTTTTTGCGTTTTGCTTTCGTCATAATGTGCTTTCAATTATCTGCCCCCCCCCCTCCAACCCATGTGTTTATCTTTCTCTCTTTCCCGCTTTCAATCTCCTCTCTCCTCTCTCTCTCTTTCTCTCTCTCTCTCTCTCTCTCTCTCCCCTCCCCTCCCCCCTCTCAACCCTATCTGCGCGCCTAATACAAGAGTAAAGTGAAATAAAGTTATTATAGTGCGGTCAAAAATTCATGGCGCGACCTATCCTTTAATATCTCTTTAGCAGGAGAATCAGTGTCACCCGTGCTTTGCACAGCAGTTTGTATCAATTTGTCCATTGAGAATAGACTAAAGAAAAAAAACGTTTCTTCATAAATATTATACAGGATGATCCAAAAAAACCTTTACAACTTGTTTCGTAAATATTTTCCTCCATACTGAAGTTTTGCTTTTCAGATTTGAACATAACGTTTGGAAGCCAAAAGGAATTTTTCTGATATGTATTTTAGATAAGTACATTGAATGGTTTTGTTCTATATAGCGCATTAAAAAAACCAACCCATTTTCAACCTTGTCGCCATTTTCATAGCATGACGCACAAGTTCGCTTTAGGCCTACCACTAAAAGTTGCAACAATCGCGCCATATTGCAAGCTGCAGCAGTCTAACAAGTCAGCAGAAGTCTGCAGATATTATTTTCCCAAATTTTGTTTGTCTGCTGAGATCAGGGCTACGTTTGGTAAAAAGCAGAGAACTTTTTGTATGGAACATTACCTCTCCACAAGCTCACCATCCCTGACATTTCGTAAGTTCTGCACACGGCATGGAGACAATGCTTAGGTGCCCTCAAGACCTTTGGCGTCATGAGTAGAGAAGTTCCGTCAGTTTGGATCTATAGCGAATCAGAACTAAAAAGTTCTTTAAAAAATGACCACTTCCGGTCAAACACGCACCATGTACAGCCCTTTAAAATTTAAACGGGACCAGAGTGCAGATTTCAGTAGCCGAGTCCCATGAGACGTCTGTCCGTAGATCTGCAGCTATGACTTTCCTACACATCAACAGTCTGCATTCTCATAGCAGATCTTAACCTACCACTGTACCAAGTTCATCTTTGCTTGGCCGAGATGACATGGATCAGAGCATGGCAATGTGTTCATGATTCATCGATTGTCTTGTAAAGAGGGATCATTTCCTCGATGGCATTCGGTTTAGTGCAAAGCCCATTTTCACCCTGCAGGATATGTTAACTCCAAAAATTCTGACTATTGGGCACCCTACTCTATTGTCTCTAGAAGCCACTTATAAATGATAGTGCACCTTTTTATCTTAAAACATTCCTGGAATTATATAATCCACCTAGAGCCCTTAGATCAGCCTCTGACAATCTAATTCTTTAAACTCCAAAACAAAACTCCAAAACATACGGCGAGCGTTCCTTTTTGTTCTTTGGTCCCCAGGTATGGAACGAAATCCCATATAAAATAAGATCTGCCCCAACAATTTCCATTTTCAAAAAATCAGCTGAAGCATTTTTTATTCACAAAAGCATACCTGTCATAAAGATGTACTGTGATATATATGCATGTGTATGCCAGACTGTGAGACTGGAGAAATAGCGAGTGAGAATGAGAGAGAGAAAAAGAGAGAGATAGAGAGAGAAAAGAGAGAGAAAAGAGAGAGATAGCGAGAGAGGGAGAGAGAAAGAGAGAGAGAGAGAGATAGAGGGAGAGGGAGAGAGAGAGGGAGAGAGAGACAGACACAGAGAGAGAGAGAGAGAGAGAGAGAGAGAGAGAGAGAGAGAGAGAGAGAGAACGGAAATATTTTTCTATCTGTATAGAATTAATGTTAATGAATGTTTCTAGTTACTCACGTTTCAACTGTATTTTGACTGTTCGTGAATTTATATTGCATTGTATATTTTTAGTGAACACATTTTCAACCTCACTGCGAGACTGTTTTTCTGGTATAAAATTTTACACATATGCATTTATATTATATGTATAATACTTTGTTTTACGTACACATTTGTGTCGATTAATTTTAAGATGTGATGTCTTTTTCATTGTAATGCGCATTGAGCATCTTTTAGGAAATGGAAATGCGCAGTATAAATGCTATTTATTATTATTATTATTATTAGTGAACATGTACAGTGTATATGGCTTTAAAAACTCTTGGTTTAGCAGATCCTTGTGTTAGGGCGCCACTGAACATTTCGAACGAAGCGTTAAAAATGTGTCGAGTCCAAAGGAGGGAATGTGGAGCACTGCTTCCAGGAAATTCAGAATGAAATCATTAGGTTTTTAAAACTCTGTAAAATAACTTAAAAATTATTTAAATGTCACAGGGATGGAAAATTAATGTCAAAGAGAAAATAAAGAAAAAGGTTAATTAATCTTTTCACGACATCCTTTACAAGATTTTTAAACATTGGTAAATTTTGCGTTTTTGGGTGTTTTTTTCTTTTAGCCGTTTCCGTTTTCAAAACATGTTTCTTCTTCGTGGATTTTATATCACACA